CGGTTTATTGGCGATCAATTTTCTAGAGTTCCCTCCGTATACTCCGTTGGCGACGATTGCTTCCCTCCCCCTCCTTTCACGGTGAAAGACCAAGTGATCCCCAAATCCTTCTCCTCCCACCCCACCCCACAAACGATGAATAATGACTTGTTTGTAATACAGCTTATATGGTGGATTCTCTCTCTGCTACTCATCTTCTCTTTCCTCCAACCTTGGATACTAGTACTAACCTAAGTTGACCGGGTGTTTTCCAGTCATGATAGAGGACCGGGTAGGAGTACAAATTGGTGATACGTAATAACTGTTTAGAATCACTCCGTCATTGGCCAGTTTGTCCATATGAGGAGTTGGGATCTGGCGAGAGCCGTGAAAACTGACGTCATCCCAGCCCTGCAATTGAACGATACTTACATCATCTGGGTCAAAATCAGCGAGCTTAGGCAAGTGTAAATGGTAAGAAAAGTCTAAATCCTTTTTCAATTTTTGGTCAAAAAATAGGGACCGGTCCTTTAATGAAATATCAATTTTCGTCTGGAAGCGAGAGATGATCAAGCTAAGCGTGATATGTGGATCAAAGTGAGACACGAATTTCACGCATGATAAAGAAGTGATGCGGAAGAAGAAGCGGATCGTGATATTGCTGCATATTTCTAGTCTCCTTCAGGCGATTAGGTCGACCGGTGACCCATCGTCTCATAAAGCAGTATACTTTTCTGTGATTGGTTTGTTTTTAAACACATGTGACTGGTACGTGTTACTTGAATGTCTTGGTAGAGCTGACTAGAAGCTCCATAAAAATGTCCTCGGTGGCAAAATTCTCGATGCAGGATAACATAGCTCTAGATCAGACCTTCTTAAGGTTCGCGACGACTGGAGTAATCTGATAATAACTAAATAAGAATAACCTTAAGTGATCTCTTAATCAAATAGTCTTTTAGCGAAACTCTTTACCAGATCATCAGCGACAATCATAATAATGTGAGGTCTGGGCGCTTTCCAAGATGGCTTCCTCTTTGAATGCGACTTCTTTCCTTTCTTTCCAAGCACGTGATGTGAGTTAAGAACCACAAAAATAAGGCTGAAAATGCAAAGTTATGAACGAATTTGAGCAACAGAAATGACAGATGAATGTTTGTCTCGTGCAGAGATTTCTTTTTCATATAAAGACAATAATATCACACAACAACATGCGGGTCAGAGCCGCGATATATTGAAATTGCTCTGAGATAATATTTTGCATTGATCGAATCAAAAAAGAGCCAAAGTAAATAACTAGCAAGCTGACATTATCTTGAAATTAAATGGGAATCTTGCAGATTGTCGTCGAGTTCAGCTACGCCGGGATGACTCAGATTGAACCAAACGCAGTTAAGCGCTTCATGGCATAACATGTACACGCTCTAATCATTTTCAACAAGGGCTGCGGTATGCTCTGTTATATGCACAAAAATGAGGGGTTTGGAGGGTAGAACTTCTGCAGTCACAAGTACTGCACGTATCGCTGCAGTATCAGTGAAATACGCACGCGTAACTGTGAAAATCCGTGTATGAGCGAAACCAGGTGGAAGTTCTAAAGTTCATTTACTTGTTAAGATGGTCGGTTCTTAACTACAACTGATAGTATCTCAAACAGGTTATTTTAAAACTATTCATCTTGAAAACCGATCAGTCAAATTAGAACAAGTTGGAACAGGTGGCATTTTCACGCCAAATGGATTCAGAAAAATTGTTGTCACCTTTTATTTCAGAAATTCACATTTTCTTTCTCAAGCAATGGTATTCTACACCAAGAAGATTCCATCTTAGATCGTACTTCGAAAAAAAATAATAAATAGAAGTACAAAGATCAGAGGTTCGAATTCAAGGCGGTAATGAACGGGTGCTGCGCCTTAATTCACTGCTTGCATTGTTCGTCATAGCTTGGCTAACAAGGTATTTCTGGCTAAGCGGTTAACGCAGTTACTAGAAATAGCCCCAGGCAAATTAGTAGGCTACAAAACTTCACAGAGAGTGCAGCCTAAAATCAAAGGTCATGAAAGATAGAGCAATTAACAGCCATATCACCTGTTATTCGTCTATGTTTTTTTTTTGAGGAAGTTGAAAGCTGGTAACACTGCGGTTAATTAGCTTGAAATGATTGGAGGTCACACATTCGCGTAATTCGTTCGGTGCCGTTTTAATTTGCTCTGCAAGGTTTTTAACAACAGAAATAACTAAGAGCCACGAAGATATTAAAATAATGTAGCAAATTTAGGGTTTTTGATGCTAAAACAACCCCTGAGATCTATTACTTAATTGTCAAAGTGAAATTAATTTTTTCAATCAAAACGTATTCTAAGTAGACGCCAACTGATTCAAAGCGACAATTTTTTGTTCAATATGTATACTTACCAAAAGCTCCAAAGTAAGTTGTACCAAATTCTCCGCGATTCCATCTCTAGGTGTTTGTCAGAGAAGATAGACAATACATCGACGGTTTTCCAATCAAAACTGTTAAACAAAATTTTCTTTCCATTAAGCCAGCGCTTTTGTAATCAATTATTGATTTATGTCAATCAGGACAAAAGGGACGTTCAATTGGCCGGTTGTTATTCGATTGAAGGCAGGCCAGGAAAAGACTGGTATTTAGGACTGAATAACTTTTAAAATTGTTTTACTGATCGAAGGCGTGTTTGGAGTCAGCTTCTCAGGGGAACGGTCCCGTGGGGATGGTCCGAGTTTCCCCCCCACCTTAAAGGACTTTAAATTTACTTATTTGAAATATTTTTCAGTTTATTCAGGCTCTAGAGTAAAAACTTATGTGTTTTCCGTAAAAATGGACAACTTTTAGCCATAAGTCATAACAAAAGTTAACCCGTAAAATTTTTATCCTGTTTTGAATGTGTCAGAATCTTACACTGTTATGTGTTTTGTTTTGTAGCCCACGAGAAAATCGTGAAAGAAAATTATCAGATAGCACCTCGATCTGGAATTACTCCTGTCACTTGACTCTAATGCTAGAAGCGACCGTGTAAATGTGTTTATGAACAATGAAATTTATTAACTTTTCACAATAATTAAAATTACCTCGTTACATCCCAATGTTTAAAAGATCCGATAGCTTAGGAAAAAATTTCTTTCTCGCTAGTACGTTGTACTCTGCGACTGCTCTAAAATAAACGACTTTACAAAATTACAATCTGGTCAAAACCCTATCAAATTCTCCAGACAACGCAAAATATAACAAAGCCATATTTTTTGATAATCTTTCATAAACAGCAGTGGTTTTTTAAAGTTTGCTTAACATTCTCTCGAAAGTCTTGTCGGCGCCAGCAGTAAATGAGAGGGTTTAAAGATGAGTTAAATAAAATAATAGACGTGGAGAGCAAATTAAGTAACATGACGGCTCTGCTTCGTGTACGTGAAGTGTTAGCGATTATAGTCAGGCAACCGAATGGCAAGAAACAAACTAGATGCGCGAAAAACACGTAAAATTTGTTTACAACCGAGCTTCGCAATTGCTTCAAGTTTTTTATTCTATCTGTGGTGCGCATTTGATTTTGAATCTGAACTTGATGCCGTCTCAAAACCAGAAAAATATTACAGTAGGCGAGGCAAATGATACTCAGACAAACTATGACAATGATTAAAGCGATAACAAGGTAGATTCTAAAACCCGCCATCCTTGTTAAAGTGAGAAGTCCGCTTGTTATCCACAGAGAAATCTGCAGATAAATGACTTTTTTCTCCGTGAAGAATTCCTTGTATCTCAAATGGAAATGAATCGCCAGGTATCTGTCCAGGCTGATGGCCGTGACGGCAAACATGGAAGTTGCAACTAGAAACGACGAAACGGATGTGAAAGAAACTGCCAAGGTGCAACTGACAGGCGAAGCCATGAAAAGTTTGAGCAGGACTGTAATGTACAGCGGCTCTAATACCACGCCTACTCCAAAATCAGCAATAGCTAAGCCGAGAAGCAAAAAATTTGCCGTCGAACGCAAAGCTGGAGAGCGAAAGATGCTGATAATAATCAATAAATTTCCCACCGTGGTTGTAGCGGCAAAGAAGCAGTTTAAAACGGCGCAAATGAGCAGAGAAACATCTGTTTGAAGAAACATGAGGAAGGGAATCTCATTCGCACAGGAAACATTGGCGGTGGCCATTAGAAGTAATTTTTCGCCGGAGTTAAATGCACAGCTCTAAATTCTTCTTGTATTTTACTTAATCATTATTTCCAACGTTCTTGTTTACATGAAGAGCAGCGGTACAGATTGTCCGTCAAACAAATAATTAATAACGTTATTAAAATCCTTGATTTGTAGTTGCGGCTTCCAGATTATATTTCACGGCGAGAATAACAGTACCACATGTGTACATACTGGAGAAAATTTTAATTAAATACATTTCGTTCGTGACTCTCTGTGCCAAGTAATTACATTTCGGTCAAGCGAATATTTTCTTAGGCAAGTTTTCCTGTATGAAATAGTGATTAAATAGAACGAACAGAATAAGTTACTTTTATTAGAACTGAAAGTCTTAACCACCAAAAAAATTTTGTACACTCAGTAGTTGACCGAATATCTTCCATATCTCGGAAACTCCAAGCAGCAAAATAAATAAATCCCCCATAGTGCTTTGGCAAGAGAAACGACAAGTTTTGAAAGAACGCGCTTTTTAAGGGGGAAGGCTTTTTTTAGAAAAGTAAACATGGTTTTCCCAACTTCCTTTTATTACTTACACAAAGTCAACTTATTTTAGAAGTGCAATAAACTTAGCTATATAATTTCCGCTTGACACTTCAAGAAAGGTTAATTGATTTGCAAATGTTCTTTAGTCCTACTCAAAAATAGATGTAAACCGCGTAATTATATCTGCCTGACATCTTCTCGCCATCAAAGAGGACTTTACAGACAGTTTCATGAGTAGATTTACAAGTGCTTGTGGAGAAACTTCCTTCGCTCGTACAAGTTCAGCTGTATAGCACCCTTCGGTCTGCCTTCCGGAGGAAATTTGTTTTCTTCGTTTCATATTTCTAGACTCTTGAATTTGGATTAATCTGGCAGTTCCATAAACTTCTCTTCGTTTGGTTAATCATCTGTAAGAGTTTCAATCAAGTTTGCGATCACCACTTTCTGCCGTGACGATGAATTCCGCAGCAACTCAGTTCCAGAAAGCATCTCAGACTTTAGATTCAGTATTCTTAGCCCTCGGACTGGCAAGCAACCTCTTCGTCTGTTTTATCATGATTCGTTGCAAACTGACGAAGAAAAGTATCTCCAATTTTTACGTTTTCCAACTCTCGGTGGCAGAAGTTGTTTACAGAACAGCACTGGCTGTTTTAGAAATCTACTTTTTAAACAGAAATAATCATCATTTAATTTCGGATGCCGAATGCAAAGTGATTATATTTTGGCGGCAGGCATTCTGTGCTGCTGTTTTTATACTTCTTGTCGGAATCGCCACGGACCGCAAAGAACACATCATAAATTCCATAAAAGCTATGACAATGAATAAACACCGAAAGACAAGGATTGCTTTTATTTGGCTGTTTGCGCTCATTTTATCAATTCCTATGTCACTGAGCGCTACTCTCAGCCCGAGATTGAAGATGCTTGGGCGACAAAATATCTATGAAAAACCTTTATTTGTTTGCCTTCTACCACGTGGCCGGCTTTCAAGCATGATATCAGTTACTATCTACTTCTTTTTCGCTTTTTTTGTTCCCTTAGCAATAATTTCGCGATCGTATTACCAAATATTCATTTATCTACGAGACAGAGCAAAAACGCGAAAATTGAGTGCATTTTACATAAGATCCAAATACAAAGCCTTGAGTATGCTGGTCATAATCACTGCGAGTTTCCTTTTAAGCTGGGGACCTCTCATGTGTAGCACTCTTGCAACAGCTTACGATTTTAAAGTTCGAACAGGAGATATCTCAGTCATGAAAATTGCAATTAGTATTTCATTGACTAGTTCTTTTATTCATCCATTTATTTATTCATTTGGAAATGCGAATTTTCGATCTGAGGTTGTCCGGACTTTTCGAAGTTGCATTTCAAAAGCGCGTTTCCAATAAGACTTAAAATAAGAATTGGTAAAAATTGGATTGCTTTACTTTCAATTGAGCTATAAAGGTGATGGAGGAGTGAGGTGAATTTTAGCGACTTCTGTTTTTCTTTAAAATAATGAAAAATTTTCATAGACGAGAGAAAATTTGTTAAGAGCAGCAAATAAGAACTCAAGGTAAAAACGCGCAAACTGCCTAAAGTGCGGGAAAAACACGGGTGACCAAGTCACAGGTAGTTTAAGTTTCGACTCTGATTGGTTTAGAAAATTACTCGAGTTTTCTGGACCAATCACGAGATGAAGTAAAGCGAAAAAAAATCAACCCTGAATAACTTTCGACACCTTATTGAAAAGTACTCTCTTTTAAAACGTGGATGATAACAAAGAGGAAATAATCCTCCAAGATGAATTTTAATCTAAGAAATTGCGGAAAATGATGCGTGAAAAAAAAGAAAACATAGCTTTAACAGGGGTTCCAACCCATGCCTCACTTTTTTAACCTCACGTGTATACCAGTGAGGGTCATGATCAATGAACTTAACCAGTCCAATCACGAAAGTGCCATATTGCATTGTATATGTAAATGAAACTTTTATCATCTTAAACAGACACAGTGTTGACGGCTTATAAATGACTTCTCCTGTTGTGGAGATAAATTCTCTTGTTGGTGAAATGACCTCTACCGTTGGTAAAATTAATTCAACCTCAGTGATAAGACGAAACCGTTTTCTGGTAGTTATAAAACAACCTGTACCCCCTCTAAAGAAGGTTCAAGCTCGAGCAGTCGCATTAGCTGTAACAGTTCTATCACGAAATGGACCATATTTGGACGCTTTTTACTCTAATGTCAACTTATGGTGTCCTCAACGAAGCAGCAAAAGGTATTTGGGATAGATAATTTATGCCAGTGGTGATACACTCACGAGGAAGATTCCATTTCTTTTATTCGTCCTTAGTGTGTAGTATTATAAAATTCTGATACTAACAAAGGAGCTGACTAGAAAGTTATTCAGTATTTTTACTTTGTTTCCTAAGCTTATCATATTGATCTCTGGCTCTATTTTAAACCGAATACGCTTTCGTTTTTTTTTTTCGGCAGTAACAACCTTTGATGGATAAAAACAATGAAAACTATGACTTTTTTTTTGATACGGAACATGATATGATTCACAACAGCCTTCTAAGGAGGGTCTCAACGGGGTGAAGGCTTACAGATTAATACATTAGCCACTTTACGATCAACGGTTAAATTATTTCCGTTACGTTTGAAATTAAGATTTTTACGGTTAACTTTGTTTACGATTAACGGTTAACGTCTAATTTTTTTTGCCATTTTACGGCTAACGGTTAACCCTATTGAGAGCCTCTTTAAGTGTGTGTTTGAGTTAAATTGAACGATTAGAAGGACGAGAGCTAGGAAATCCTTTAGAAAGAAGCTATTTCCTGTTCCACCATTGTTATAGGATAGTTCGCGAGGACACATAAATTAACGATCTTTCCAGGTGTTATTCCATGCTAACGTGGCTAGTAATCGTAGAGAAATCCGAAATATTAGTAGCAAAGGATCTTAAAAGGTTCTTAAGAAATGTATTTCGAGGCTAACTTGAAAGACACTTAAATTTTGCAGATACCTTAAGTCTTGTATTTGCCGGAGATATCAATTTCTCGGACCCGGTTCGCTTTGATGTCAAACGTCACCTTTACAGTTACAACGATACCTTAAAACGGGTGGCACAGTACATCCGAGAGGCCGACATCGCCTTTGGAAACCTAGAGTCGCCCTTCGTTCCCAAGCAAGCGCTGTCTGGTAGAGTCCTGGTTGGGAAACGAATATTTCTGGAGGCTGAAAAGAAAAGCGCCCCAGCATTGAGGTTCGTGTTGTTTCACACGTGTTTGTGGCTATTAAAAAACTTAGTTTACCACACTTTTTTAAGTGCGATATCACATCAACTATTCTCTCATAAATGAATAGAGGGTGTAAGTTTCTAAAGAAACTGTGGTGCTGCGTCGGTGGGAGAGTATAGCAGGTAATTTAGTGTTAACAACCAAGTTGAAAACGTAGATTAGCCACCGTAAAAGATAAAAAAGTTGGCGTTTCGAGTTTTAGCCCTTCGTCAAACGCTCTGATGAAGGGCTAACGCTCGGAAAGTCAGCTTTTTTACCCTTTACGGTGGCTAACTTAGTTGTTAACACTAAATTACCTGTTATTCTCTCATAAGCTGCGTTTGAGAATCTTCGTGGTTGCGTCTATTGTTGAGTCCAAAGAAGCCCCAAAGACAGAATTTCTTGAAGATACATATCCTATTTAGTCGATAATCTCTTGCAACACTGCTAAGACCTTTAAGTGGGTATTCTGATATTTTGTTGCAAACCCATCACAAAAGTGACCCCTACGACCAATTGGAACGAAGGTTTTGACCAGAAGCCAATGAGAACTCAAAGTGATGTCGCGCAAAGACCTAAAGCGAAAGATAACGCGACTGGCCACGGCGCAATCGGCTCAAGTTTGTAATTAATTGGTTGAAGGGTTGTCGCGAATTTGCTTAACCAATTACAACTTGAAGTTAACCAAACCAATGCAACCCCAGATATATATCAACTCTCCAACATGTTGCCGGTACTCAAATTTCTCTTTGCCAACAGTTTCGCAGGATTTGATGTGATGACATTAGCAAACAATCACTTGAACGACTTTGGTGAGCTTCCAGTGGATTATACAGTTAATGCATTGAAAGAAATTGGAATAAAAACTGTTGGTGTTACATATGGACCTTACAATTCCCGTCAGGTAACAGCAGATTTGCCTATAATAACCCTCAAGAGTTTCAAAGGAGAGGTGTACTCTGACCATGGAAGACCATACAATTTTTATCTTTATCATTAAAAAGTCATTTGTAAAATTGAGTACTTTCCGCTTGGGCGATTTCCCAAGGGTAATACAAGTCCTCGAAAAATGTCTTCCATTGATAACCTATTTGCAACAACTTTTTTTTACTTTGACCAGAAATGGAAAATTCATCGACAGTTTCCTGGCTTAATCAATGGACAAACTGACACATTTTTTTTTCCGACTAATGGTAACGCAGTACTCTGATTACTAAATCTGGTTATCGGTGTTTAGGTTCCTCTGATTATGGAGAAGAAATCAATAAGGATTGGGATTCTTGCTTACTGTATAACTCAAAGTAGCCCAAGATATAAAAACTGTAGTGAGGTCCGGAAAATGTTCAAGTCGGGAGCCGCTCTTTACCAGAAAGAGATCGCTACTAAGGACATCAACGACTTGAAGGTAACAACTTACTTAGTCCTACTGTATATTTTAAATCGTTTGTGCTGCCCCATTTGGTGCCATACATCAAGTAAATACCTAATAACTGGAGAGAGATGTTATTTCCTCCCATCACTTGCGTGGGACAATCGAAAATTTCTCAGTTTCCAAGACTGGAATCCAACCTCAGGCCATCGACTGCACCACAGTGACTACGGTGAGCAAAGCCATCACTAGATTCAAAGGTAACACACGCCCAACATAATATTATACTAGGATCAGAAAAATTGAAAACTTCCATTTCATTGCCGGACTCAAAGTTGACCGTCTTTCCTTCTCTGTTCCCTCAAACAACTGACTCATGATGATCACGCTCCTTAAGGTGGAACGAAGAACGCTTCAGCATTAAGGGCAGGTTATTATCAATCCCCTAGGGGGGGGGGG